ATAAATAAATTTAAATATATTAAACTCAATAAATTATGAAATATTACATGACTGAAAGTTTTAAATAAATATTATAATCGAATTGACGCTAAAAATTTTCATAAACTACGTTAATCTACCTGTAAACTTTCGAAATTCTTGTATTATTGCAAATTTTACAGAATATTACACTGTAATGTTATGAAATACTACGCCGTAAACTTTCAAAATTCTTGTATTTTCGTAAGTTCTACATAATATTATACCATAATGTTACGAAGTAATACGTCGTAAACTTTCGCATAGTTTACATTCTATAATATTACGTAGTACTACGTCGTAATGTTACAGAATATTACGAATATACAATTTACGTAATCTTACGGCGGTCTCATAAGTTTTCATAATATTACGGAATGTAAGTTTACGTAATATTACGCCCTATTAAATTTACTGATGTAAAAGTTCTGGTAATGCCATTGGTGAACTATTTATTTAGGATAATTTTTTATCTGTAATCTTCCTAATTCGCTTCTTAAGCTATTCAACCATGTCTTTTAGCCTTAAAATATGGATATCTTGAGCAGTACTTGCATTATCTTTATATCTTAAATCCTATAATGCTTTATAGAAACGCAGTTTAAGTGATTTATCTCAGACTTAAGAGATGCTAACTTATCTTTGTGAGCTAATATTGCTGAATCCTGGTAAGATATTACCCTATAACAGGTTTCTAGCTCTCTGCTAAGTGCTTTAAATTTTTTATCCTTAAGTTTGTTTTTAACTATTTCATCATCCAATTCTTTATGTAATTCTGTATTAGTAACTAAGATTTCAATATAAGCCTTTTCTTTAGTTACAGTCCTTTGGAATGTTTGCTTAGTTATAATTTATCTGAGTAATTTTTTTTCTAATACTTTGAATGAATATGAAAAAAAAATGTTGATTCCTATTATTCAGATAGATTCAGGTGAAGCTCGAAAATTTGACGTATTTATTGCTTTGTGAAAAATTTACTATCAGCCTATTAGGTATCAAAGAAATGTTAAAAAATTGCATAAAGCTTCTCAAAAAGCTGGGTTTGATTTTACCTTAAATGATGTGTATGATTAGCTCAAAAGACAGGCTGTATATCAGATACATAAGCCTCATCCTAGATATATTCTTCGAGCAAGTTTTTGTTTTATTACGCCTTCTAATAAAGTTCACTAGCAGATATTCTCTACATACCTTATGATAAAGTAGGTCAGATTACCTATCTTTTTTGTCTTACTGTGATAGATGAAGCTTCAAGATATAGAGTGTATATTCCTATTGGTGTATATAGTGTCAAGGATAAGCAGAGAATCTTAACTTTAGCTACTATTGCTAAAGCATTTGAAAAAATCTATGATGACTCTGGGTATCTTCTGATATAACCAGAAACATTTTTAACAGATAAGGGATCAGAGTTTAAAGGCAAATATGAGAAATTAATGAGAAAACATGGTATAAAAATTCAGAAGGCTAAATCTAAACCTACTATAGGTATTATTAAAAGATCTAACCGAACTTTGATTGAAAAATTATTTCCTTTCAGAATGCATCTGATCTTTTGACTTTACACTTAAATAAGGTATCTTGGGTTTGGATAAAGAATTTGCCTATAGTTGTTGAATATATTAATAATTCTATTACATATCAGCTTGGTATTTCTCCTGTTGATGTAATAGAGAAAGAAGAGGTTTTAGCTAAGCCTTCTTATTTTTAGTCCTATAGGTTTTGATGAAGAGAAGCTTTTTGGTGATATTCTTGTTCAATATTTGCTATATCCTAGTGATTTGGAGGGTAGAAGATATCATGCTAGTGATTTGAATTTGTCATTTCATATTTATTATATCTGTCAATCTATAGTACAAAAAATCAGCTGATCTTATGCTGGCAGGAAGAAGTTACTATTGGGTTAATTGATAATGATGATTATATTTTTAAACGTCCTGAAAGATCTTTTATTTGAGAAGAATTGATGATTATTCCTTATGATATAGAATTGCTTTCCCAGTGGGTGCTTATAAATTAAAATAGTCTTCTGCTTCTTATTCATTTGTTCTTCCTTAATAAAATTATCCTTAGCTAATTCATAGTATAATTTGTATAGATCCATGATTGCATTAAGAATTCTGGGATCTCGCCCATAATATTTCTTATAGTCATTTTTTAATTGATTATACTTGTCTTTATTGGAGAAGATATTTTAGGCTAATTTTAATACATATTCTTCGGGATCTTCTGCCTGATGCAATTTTTTAATCTGATCTTTATAACTTAACATGAATTTTCTGTCTTTTAGTTTTCTATAGTAGAGCACTACCTTGATGACATTTATTAATGCCTTTTTGATATTTTGAGATGTTGGCTTAGTATTAGTTAATTGAATTTGTATACTCATTGTGAAAGTGCTTGATTTATTATATGATACTTATATAAATTTTTTTCTTTAATTAATTATTTCCCTATATATCAAAATGATTGGAGAATATTTCTGTTCATATTTGCACAATACTGGCAAGACTTGTGGTAGGCCTTACATGCGTAAAGAAGAGTGTTATGAGTAGGGATGTGTTAGTCCTGGCAAAACCGGTCCGCAAATCGGTTAATGAACCGGTCCACATGGTCTTCGGTCCGTGA